AACTTCTGGTTTTCGAAGTTACAATATTTCCGGTTTTGAGAAAACTGGGTATTCTGACACTCTGCGTAATCCGACATATTGTAACGATCCCATACGGTGTCGGATATGACAGAGTGCACTGTATACATTTATTAGAATTGAAACAATAAGCTTTCATATGAAATATGAAAGCTTAATAATAATAACTAGACCTGCATGGCAGTGCTGATTCGGCTTTCAGGCAACAGACCCGAAGGAAGCATTCGAAAGTCCATTTACTGTGCTATCAAACAATACTTTTGATCTGGTAATATCCAACAGAGAAATCACGTTTTTGGCAAAAATCTGCAATTTTTTTTTTAAATATCAGATATTTTTTCGACTACTTTCGGTTTTTGGATCATTGTCGGGATAGCTTTAACAAGTTGTTTTGATACATAACTTACTGTCCCAGAAGTGTCAGAAACATCCATTGAGTCGAGAAAAAAAAAGATAAATAAAAGAGCATTTTTAATAATTTAACGATTTTTCAACTTTTTTCAAAGATTGAGGCCATTTTTGGACCACCTATATTATTTCAATGCTTTTCTTTTTGGATTCACGCCATAGACCACCGATAGGACTCTGAGTAAAAAAAGTTTAAAGATACATTATGGAAGATTTTAATAGAGAGTTGGCCATTCTTGCTATAACAGTTCAAAAATAGATGATGAAAGAAGAATATATTGAAAATTTCAGTCAAATTACTTTATTCTGAACAAAGTTCCCACCATTGTAATTTTTGACTAGAAAATTAACTCCATCTACATAATCTCGATTATCAAGTAACGTTTTCAATGGCTGTGGTACGGGGTTGCAATTCAATTCGTATCACATTTATTTTTACTACAAATTAAAAATAAGACTTTTAATATATAGATAAGAAGCGAAAGTTTGAAAGGAATGGACCAAATCAATGAGGTATAATTATAGCCGATTTCTTGTTAGCCTGTGTGTACTCTTGTACTGTAACTGGTAGGCCTACGTAACTCCCAAAGCAGACAAATAGGAAACAGTGATCCAATGGGGCTGCAATTCAACTGGGGTGATGTTAGCTGCGATGTTTATCAATTTCCATAATTTTTCTGTAAACGCAAGTGACAAAAGAGCGTATAATACCGACACCCAAACTCTTATTTTAACCACAACTAAACATAATATCAAGGCCATATATATCGAACTTTCAATCAAATTGACTGACATGCGGCCTCGCTTAACAGCGGCCTCGCCTCATGGTTTCCCGGTCGAAATTAAGGTTTCAGATCGGCATCAGTTACAGGCACTGAGAAATAAGCTCCCGCGGTAAATAATAATAATAATTTTAGTAATCACAATATTTGTGGACACTCAAAACTCTTATCTGATTTCATCTAAACTTGAAATATAGGTTTATCTCCCTAAAATCTCGGTTCTTTTTGATATTGGCATGTATCGGACCGTAGCTTCATGGATTATGACCCCTGATTGTACCGAAAATCGCATTTTTAGCATGTGGACCCGTAAGAGGGCACAATTTTTATCCGATTTTGTTGAAACTTGAAATGTAAGTTTATAACCCAAAGATCTCAGTTCCTTTCGATATTCGTGTATATCAGACCGTAACTTTATGAATTATGGCCCCTAATTGTAAGCAAAATCACGTTTTTGGCTTGTGGACCCTATAGAGGTCATAATTTTTATCCAATTTGAAAAAACGTTTGAATATATCACCGTTACACCCTAAGGCTGGTTGAGTTCAAATTTTGTTCAAAAAAGGACCAAAACTGACAGACAAAATGGCCGCCCCTCGTACTCAAATAGTGTAAAAATATAGTATATCAAGGTTGTGGACCCTCTAGAGGTCACAATTTTCTTTTGATTTTTATACGCCCACATTGAAATGTGGTCGTATATTGTCTCACCCCGTCCGTCCGGCTGTCCGGCGTCCACAAGCTAAAGTTAATATCCGATTGACTTAAATTTATACACAGTGTTTAATGTCATGAGACGAAGAAGCCTATTGATTTTCGGCGATTTCTGATAAGTACTACCAGAGTTATGGCCCTTGATCACTTTGAAAAATCTTGTGGACGCTCTAGAGGCTAAAGTTAATATCCGATTGACTTTAAATTATACACAGTGTTTAAGGTCATGAGACGAAGCAGCCTTTGATTTTCAGCGATTTCCGATAATTACTGCCAGAGTTATGGCCCTTGATCACTTAAAAAAATATTGTGGACGCTCTAGAAGCCAAAGTTAATATCCGATTGACTTTAAATTTATACACAGTGTTTAATGTCATGAGACGAAGAAGCCTATAGATTTTCAGCGATTTCCGATAATTACTGCCAGACTTCTGGCCCTTGATCCCTTTGAAAAAATCTTGTGGATGCTCTAGAGGCTAAAGTTAATATCCGATTGACTTTAAATTTATACACAGTGTTTAATGTCATGAGACGAAGAAGCCTATTGATTTTAGGCGATTTCTGATAAGCACTGCCAGAGTTATGGCCCTTGATCACTTTGAAAAATCTTGTGGACGCTCTAGAGGCTAAAGTTAATATCGGATTGGCTTTAAATTTATACACAGTGTTTAATGTCATGAGATGAAGAATCCTTTTGATTTTCGGCGATTTCTGATAAGTACTGCCAGAGTTATGGCCCTTGATCACTATGAAAAATCTTGTGGACGCTCTAGAGGCTAAAGTTAATATCCGATTGACTTTAAATTTATACACAGTGTTTAAGGTCATGAGACGAAGAAGCCTATTGGTTTTCAGCGATTTCCGATAATTACTGCCAGAGTTATGGCCCTTGATCACTTCAAAAAATCTTGTAAATGCTCTAGAGGCTACAGTTAATATCCGATTGATTTTAAATTTATACACAATGTTTGAGGTTATGAGACGAAGAATCATATTGATTTTCAGCAATTTCCGATAATTACTGCCCAAGTTATGGTCCTTGATCACTTTGAAAAATCTTGTGATGCTCTAGAGGGTAAAGTTATCATCCGATTGACTTCAGATTGATACACAGAGGTTAAGGTTTTGAGATGAACAAGTATATTGATTTTCAATGAATTTTTATGACTTGAACAACTAAATCCATGATGTTAAAAGTTTCGTATACTAAACATTAGCATGGGGCAGAACTTTAAAAAAACCAAACAAATTCTAATAGTTTTCTGATAATTACTTAATTAGTTGTTACTCTTAATCAGATTTTAATGTATTATAAATGTTTAATTACCGAAAAAAGTAAAAATATGCGACAACTCTTGTTGACTCCCCGGACGATTTAGCTGCTGTGGGCGTATGTTTCGTTGCCTGGCAACCTATCTTTATGAAACTTGAAATGTTGGTTCCTGTCGATATTCTCAGATCGGATCGTAACTTCCTGAATTATGGCCCCTGATTGTATGAAAAATCGCATTTTTAGCTTGAGGTCCCTCGGGAGGTCACAATTATTATCCGATTTAAAAAAAAAACGTTCAAATATTCTATATCACCGTTACACCGTAATATATTGTGTAAAAGTATGCAATATGAAGGTTGTGGAACCTCTTAAGAGGTCACAATTTTTATCCGATTTTGATGAAACTTAAAAAGTATCTTTATATCCCAAAGATCTCAGTCCTTTTTGATATTTGCGCATTTCAGGCCATAACTTTCTGGATTGTTGCCCCTGATTGTACAAAAAATCCTGTTTGTTTTTAGCTTTTTCTCTATCCATCTCTTGCAAAATGTGGGTGTATCCTGCCTGGCAGCCGCTGGTTAAAGATACATTATAGGAGATTCGATAACGAGTTTGCAGTTCTCACTATACTAGTTAAAAACTAGATAATGTAAAGGCAAATTGCTGAAAATTTCATTCAAATTGATCTAATACGAACCGAGAACTAAGCGATTGAAATTTCCGCCTAGTCTCGATCATCATTACTAAAGTCAGTACGATAATCAGCATAGTCTTGTTTATCCATTTAATCTCTAAATCGTGATGGAAAGTTATGCAGTAAATCAGCTCATAATCCACTAAAGATCGCTGGCTAGCGATGCCATCTAGAGTTGATTATGGTCTAGATAGGTTAATTAATGTCTAATTAATAATTTAGATAACATTTCAGAGCTAAAGAAAGAACTGCAATAGACAGATTTAGCTCTTGCATAATGTATGTTAAAATAATATGATGTCCAAGAAATTAATATCCTCTAAAAAGTACCATATGTAGCACCATGAGTCTTCTGTCTGACGTGGAGAGCGTCTATGGGAAACCGGTCGCCACATCCTACGTATGACCCATGCATCTTTTCTTACTACATATTTCTGTAGCCTTGTGATCGTCTAGGATTTGTCTCTAGCTGTCTTTACTTCTGCTTCACGTTGTGTATTTACTTCTTCTAGTTTCTTAAGACGTTTGTCTTACCAGGAATAATAATGCATAGTTCGCTTCTACATTTTATATAGCATATAACTGAATACAGGTATACAAGCATAGCACAAATTACAATACTATATAGCTAAAACCACTTTTCCACCCTATCCAGCCTCTCGGCTGTCTAGGAACTCAGATGTACCCTCGATCTCTGGATTCTAATGCAAGTCTGCCTTAAAACTTTAGTATGATTTATTTTATAAGACTCCTGCAGATCACGCACAGACAGCCTGTTCATGGCCCTGAACCTGTGCAATTAACGATATGATTGGTTACTTTAAACCAAATGATGCAATTAGAATAATTCCACTCACGTGTAATTCTGGTGGTAAATGAGTGACATATGTTTTTGATAAATCGCTCTTTTTTATGTGTCAACTATCAATTACAGACTAAGTTGATTTAAGTATTTTAAGTACATATCACATATTATGCGAATATGTTATTTCTCGAGCAAAAATTCTACTAAAAGTATTACACATATTCTTTCTTAACAAAAAAACATTACTAATTTTGTAGGATTACATGAACTTGAATATTGTATTTATGTCAATATTTTATGTTTCAGATTGATACTATGTTGTTTAAAGCAGATTCAAGTAATGCTGTTGTATTTAGTGCTTTAAGAAGTAATATTCCACAGGTAATATATACATTGTAGAAAAAGGTAATGTACAACAAAATGCCTCCAAAAAGCAGAAAAATGGACCATACACAATCAAAAGTACTCTTTCCAAATATCATTTTGGTCCAGTAATTATGCCATGTAGATAGGATTATTGTAACCTGGATGTTTTGGTTTTAATAATTTCAATTATCTGAATATTACTGTTTAATTTTAGAAATGAAAAAATTTATTGACCATTTGTCATGTTGCTGTTTTAAATAAGACATAATCATGTGTTCAAATACATATTTGTTTAGGTATCCATGAATCCAATTTTGAAACATCAATTATCGGAAGAAATACAGAAGTTGCCCGATATATGTGATTGCCTTAACAATTTAGATATTGCAAATTCCTTCTTAAAATCTCTTGGAGGTGATCCAGAAGCTAGTTTACATCAGTTCATGGCAGACACTCTGAAGATGAAAACAACAGTACTTTCACAAACAGTAGGTTTTATTTATTAAAGAAACTATGTTACTAAGAAAAAATCTTGATTAAATATATTAAGAATGAGTTCGCAAGAGAACCATGCAAAATTAAAAAAACGGCACAAGCTGTGTTGTTTGATTTTGACCAATCTTTGCAGATTTGGTCATTGGGTACCCTGTATATCCCACATGAAATATGAGGGTCACAAACCTTGTAGTTAAGGAGAACCAGCTATGGCCATTTTAGAGTTTAAAAAAAAAAACGTCATTTTCAAGAAAATAATCCTTAAATTCAAATATTTCCCATAAATTGCCTATTGATTTTTATACGCCCACATGGAAATGTGGTCGTATATTGCCGTCGCCCCCGTCTGTCCGTCCGTCCGTCGTCCACAATTTCTTGTGAACACTCTACAGACTACACTTATCAACCGATTGTTTTGAAATTGATGTTGTTTGCATTAGTGAGATGAAGAATCCTATTTAATTTCAATAACTTCCGTTAATTTCTTCTGGAGTTATGGCCCTTGTTTCACTTTGTTGCTCTAATGACTAAAGTTATCAACCAATCTGTATGAAATTTAAATGCATTATTTAAATTAGTAAAACAAAGAAGCCTTTTGAATTTCAGCAATTTCCGTATATTACATCTAGAGTTATGGCCCTTGTTTCACTTTGTTGAATCTCTTGAACGCTCTAATGACAAAAGTTATCAACCGATCTGTATGAAATTTAAATGCATTATTTAAATTAGTAAAACAAAGAAGCCTTTTGAATTTCAGCAATTTCCGTATATTACATCTAGAGTTATGGCCCTTGTTTCACTTTGTTGAATCTCTTGAACGCTCTAATGACAAAAGTTATCAACCGATCTGTATGAAATTTAAATGCATTATTTAAATTAGTAAAACAAAGAAGCCTTTTGAATTTCAGCAATTTCCGTATATTACATCTAGAGTTATGGCCCTTGTTTCACTTTGTTGAATCTCTTGAACGCTCTAATGACAAAAGTTATCAACTGATCTGTATGAAATTGATATGCATCATTTAAATTATTGAATTTCAGCAATTTCTGTTAATTTCTTCTGGAGTTATGGACCGTGTTCCACTTTTTTGCACCTTGTGACCGCTCTAACGACAAAAGTTATCAACCGATCTGTATGCATATTACATCTAGAGTTATGGCCCTTGTTTCACTTTGTTGAATCTTTTGAACGCTTTAATGACAAAAGTTATCAACTGATCTGTATGAAATTGATATGCATCATTTAAATTATTGAATTTCAGCAATTTCCGTTAATTTCTTCTGGAGTTATGGACCTTGTTCCACTTTTTTGCACCTTGTGAACGCTCTAACGACAAAAGTTTTCAACCGATCTGTATGCATCATTTAAATTAGTAAAACAAAGAAGCCTATTGAATTGCAGCAATTTCCGTCAATTACGTCTAGAGTTATGGCCCTTGATTTACTTTGTTGAACTTTGTGAACTTTCGAACAACAAAAGTTATCATCCGATCTGTATGAAATTTATATGCATTATTTGAATTAGTAAAACGAAAAAAGCCTGTTGAATTTGAACAATTTCTGTAGATTGCTTCCAGAGTTACGGCCCTTGTTTTAGTTTTTAGAACCTTGTGAACCCTCAAACGGCAAAAATTATAATCTGATCTGTATGGAACTTGTCTTGTAAAGGCCCCTAATTACCTACAAAAGAATAAATATGTGACAACCCTTGTCGATTGCTCGGACGATTTAGCTGCTGTGGGCGTATGTTTTGTTGCCTGGCAACCTATCTTTTCTATATGCTAAAACATATAAATTTCATGATGCTATATCTCACCCACTGCGGGGCTGAGGACAATTCTATAAATAATGGAAGTCGAGGACTACTAATACTAATATTTGGTTTTGACAAAATGACTGGCACAGATTTCTTTCATATCAAATTTGATGGTCGAACTTGAAGAAAATGACTTCATTTCTGACATCATTTTTCCAATAAAATCACTCATTGCCTGGATTATTAGGCCCAATAATGCTCCATGCAACCCCCTTCCAGTAACCCTGTGTAGGGCTGTTACAGATAGATGATTCAGGAGTTCCACAAGGATCAGTCCTTTGACCTGTCCTTTCTGTAATGTATACTAAGAATTTAGGACAACTAATCGAAAATCATGGTTTCAAAAACTGTTCCATCCTCTAATTATTCTGACATCAAATTGTGTACACGTGACATTAAAAATATGTTGAAATTAAATGTAATTGAATTAAGTAAATCTGAATGTATTTTATTTGGTCCAAATACACATCTGAAAAATACAAGTTCAAATGATGTGGTTGTATGACATGCAATACTTGTACCATGCGACACTGTGAAGAACTTAGGTGTCCTCTTAGGGTCTAAATTAAGCATGGCCAGTCACATTAGTGAAATTTGTCGAAACTGTAATCTTCAGTCCAGGAACATTGGCCATATAAGACACTTACTTAGCCGGGAAGCAGCTGCTACATTTGTATGTTCTCTAGTATTCTCAGGGATTGACTACTATAACAGCTTGTTAGTAGAAACATCTAGTGCCAATATTAAAAAAAACTTGTACAAAATATTGCACATCGAATTGTTACCAGATCATCAAAATACTTCCATATTACTCCTGTTCTGAAATCACTTCATTGGCTGCCAATAAATGAAAGAATCATCTTCAAAAGTCTGTCTTTGACGTATCAGTGTGTGAATGGCTTACCTCAAATATATGTATCTACTCTTATGCAAATACAAGTTCCCTAACCTCCGGTCGAACATACCTCCATCAGTTGTGTTGCTCAAAGTGGAAATTAGAATCATTTGGATATGGATCATTCTCAGTGAATGCGCTTAAACTGTGGAACAATCTTCCATGGAAGATTAGAGATCATTAAATCGTCTCAAACTCTTTCTTGGTTTAACCCTTAACCGGTCATTGTCGACTATAGTCACCACAACGTTATACAGCTAAGTGGTCACGGTCGACCACGGCAAGAACCTTTTTTATAAGCCGCATTTGAGTATTTAGTTTCGTATTTAATTGATATGGCCACGCATGCGTGTCAGACAGGAACTTGTCTTGTCAAGGGCATTGAGATAACCAACCATGTCTTTGTTCAACATTTTTTGACGAAAAACGTAATTTAACAGTGTCGGGAACGTTAAAGACGCTCGAAGTGGTTGAAATACTTATGAATTATTCCGAATCGGATTATATCGATGACGCCGATTCTGAAGACGATATTTCTGATGAAAAGGATTTAGAATGATTTGCAAATTATAGATCAACTTATCCCCAGCAACTTTTTTATTGGTGTCAATAGTATAGTCGATTGAAATAGGCATACAAAATATTTCACGTCAGCCTTTATTTAGCCTGACCATTTGACGTCATAACGTCAAAATGACGTCGACCGGTTAAGGGTTAAATCAAGATTTAAAACGCATCTTGTTATCAAGATTAATTAAATTGATTTAATTGTATGCCCAGCGAACATATCTTTGTGCATGGAGTACGTGCGCTGTATAAATGTACATATTATTATTCGTCAGACCGAAGATAGGTTTGGACCAGGGTTCTTAATCCATTTTGAAATGAACCGGCCACGGTTAGGCCTAACGGATAGTCGTCTTTTCAACAACAAACATGTTAGTTTATGCATATTCTATTCACGTCAGTAATTGCATAATTCACTAATTGCATAATGTATTTGGGATAATAATAGCCGAAACTCTGTATAAACAAGACCTTAGTAATTGCATACTTGCATTCATACATCGCTATAATATCAACATTTATAATCATATTATTTCAGCAACTTGCATTGCATATTCCTACTTTTGGTTTCATACAACTAAACGGAAGTTATAAATTAGTAAAAACTACAAGTACATACAAATGGTTTTTTTTAAATTATTTTATTCGTAAGCACATGTTAATAATAAATAACAAAGTATATAAATAACAAAGTAGCACAAATCGGTTTCCGTGTATAGTCGGAACTCGGAAATATGCTGTACGGGCGAAAGGTCACGTGGCCAATTGTCGTGATTCCGATTAGTTTATTTTTAGCATTACCGGTATACAATTGTCGGGATTTAATGCTGCAGGACTAGTTCGGATATCTGAGAGGATCTCTTCCTCAATTTCACTGGATATTAAAGAAATAAATTAACCACAACAATTAAAATCACGATATAGTTTTTTTGTCATTTCATGATCCTGCTGTTCTGTCAAATCGTTCAATTATTGTTCATAATTTTCGATGGCAATGTTTCTTTTTTCTATGGAATACGCATTTCGGATTAACGCCCGGTTTGAAACAATTTCTATAGATTTGGGAATTAAACTCTTTGTTCTGTCATCGTCTTTCTTTGCTGCGCAGGTATGATCGTCAGATTAATACGGTCTTTTATTGCCGATAATTTGGTTGACCTATATTGCACGTGGGAGGATCTCCGGCTTTTGGAACTTCCATTGACGACGTACATGCTTGAAGTTCAAGGTCAACGCCGCCATCACTATCTTCAGTTAAATCTAGTTTACGTTTCCTGGTGTCATTCTGCGAGGTGTTCACGCTCTAACGCCAAAAGTTATCATCCGATCTTTCTGAAATTTACATGCATTATTTAAATTAGTGAAACGAAGAAGCCTATTGAATTTCAGCAATTTCCATTAATTACGTCTAGAGTTATGGCCCTTGTTTCACTTTATTGAACCTTGTGAACGCTCTAACGCCAAAAGTTATCATTCGATCTTTGTGAAATTTGTATGCATTATTAAGATAACTGAAACGAAGAAGCCTATTGAATTTCGGCAATTTCCGTTTATTACGTCTAGAGTTCTGGCCCTTGTTTCACTTTATTAATCCCTGTGAACGCTCTCACGTCAAAAGTTATCATCCGATCTTTCTGAAAATTATATGCATTATTTAGATTGCTGAAACGAAGAAGCCTATTGAATTTCAGCAATTCCCGTTTATTACGTCTAGA